GTTCAAGGATTCTTTTAGGGAGTTGGTTGATCTTTGTAAGCAGGTTTGTTTTGTGATTGTTGGTGACCAGTTTGACAAAACCACTTGCCATTCCATTCTAATGTTCTTTTTTCTGTTGAAGATTGATTCGAAACTTTTCAATCTAAAGAAGGAGTTATCTGTTCAAGATGCGAAGCATCAGAAGACACTTGCCGAGGTTAGTCAATAGAGGACCTCCATTATCTTACTTCTGGATTGTTTTAGGGAATATGCCAAAGAAACAAGAAGAAAGCTGTTTTCTGCACCTTCAATGTTTAAACAAATTTCTTTCCAATTACTTTAAATCCATTGCTTTAGTTAATAAATTTAAAAATGAAATTTACTGACATTGAGTTTGAACATCAAGAGTTTGTATCAATCTTCTTCAGCAACGCATATTAGAAAACAATTTATGTGGATTGAAATCAAGGTTCTTGTTTTTGTTTCCTGACAATTTGACTTAACAACTGCGCCTCAACTCCTTTGACAATTTCATGGTTTCTCGTCAAATATTAGAACGCACTGATTATATGTTTACTTCTTATCTTAAATTTGAGCATTTTGAGTTATAATCTTAGATGGATCTGATTCTGTGTTGATATGTAATTAAGCCAACACACTGATTATTTGTTTACTTCTTATCTTAAATTTTCAACTGGAAAAAGGTGTAGATGGCCTATTTGATAGCTTTGCAAGGTTGGACTCACGAATTTCAAGTGTTGGACAGACTGCAGCAAAAATTGGAGACCATTTGCAGTTAAAGTTTTTCCATACTTGATACTTCCAGTTGAGCTTAATGATGTTGCTTAATAATATAATTGCTAGTTGTATGTCTTATTTCTATCTTATATAAAATATTCTTGTCAGAGTGCAGATGCTCAAAGGGAAACTGCTAGTCAAACAATAGAACTTATAAAGGTACTGTCAATTGGTATATTTATTATGCATTCACTTCTTTATCTTGTTTTAACACCTTTTCAGTAATCCTTGCAGTACTTGATGGAATTTAACAGCAGCCCAGGTGACCTAATGGAGCTTTCACTTTCACCTCTGTTTTCTGATGATAGCCATGTTGCTGAGGCTGCATCAATTGCACAGAAATTGCATAAGATGGCATTACCTACTCAAGATTTTACATTTTTTAGAACTAGTAGAGTTATTTGTGTATGAGAGAGTAGATTTTTTATGATAATTCTACAATTATAGACAAGTTGTGAGATATCTTCATATGGAAATTTGCTTCCATGACCACAATATCTAATATATGCTTTTAACTTTTATCCCCCTTCCATCTATATGAATAAATTTTACCTTTTCTGTTATTTACGTAAATTTCAGGATCATTTGCTGAAGAAGATATTGGAAGACAAGGCATAGCTGTACCATCTGTCATGGGAAATGCAACTGCTAGCAGAGGATTAGAAGTTGCAGTTGCTTATCTTCAGGAATACTGCAATCGTACTACAATTTCTTTATAATAACACTTCTAGCAGGTGGCATGTGTAATGCATAAAAACCACGGAAAATTGGCTACTCTTAGTTTTTTCAACTTTTAAGAAATGTTCATTTTTAATAGACATTAATTTATGTTCCTATATATAAAAAAAAAAGACATTAATTTATTTTCTCTCAATTATTTCCTTCTCCTGATTTCTTTATGTAGAACTGGAGAATAGATTATTATCTCAGTTCGATGCAGCATCGCAGAGAAGAGAATTATCTACCATGGCAGAATGTGCTAAAATTTTATCTCAGGTAGTTATTTATCAGAATAGTTGATTGGGCATGGTTGATGTCCTTGTTAATTTCAGTCTTCCTTTTTAAACCCACATATTCTGCTTTGTTATCCCAATGATTCTGCTTAATATTGTTAGTCTTCTGAAGGTCATTTCTTTTTTGCTTCTGTAGTTTAACAGGGGCACAAGTGCCATGCAGCATTATGTGGCAACCCGTCCAGTGTTCATTGATGTGGAAGTCATGAATGCAGACACCAGATTGGTTCTTGGAGACCAGGGTTTGCAAGCTAGTCCCAACAATGTTGCTCATGGACTTTCTTCCATGTACAAAGAAATCACAGGTTTAAGGATAGACTTTGATGTTAATTGTTATAGCAGGGAATTGTTCTACCCAAAACAGAAATGATATTAAGTGACCAAATTCCATCTTTGTTTTTCATCCTGCAGATACAGTACGTAAAGAAGCAGCCACAATTACTGCAGTATTCCCTTCTTCTAATGATGTCATGTCAATTTTAGTCCAGGTACCAGGACAATATGGTCCTTCATTTTGATGGTCTTGATATTCCATTTACTTCATGCCTTCATAGTGCCAACAACAAATATATCAATTCAATGACTTTGTGTACATGTGTGTCCAATGTTGTGCACAGCGAGTTTTGGAGCAGCGAGTTACAGCCCTTCTGGATAAAATACTAGGGAAGCCATCTCTCGTGAATCCACCTCCCTTGGAGGAAGGTGGACTTTTATTAGTGAGATCCATTAACTGCGTACACTGCTTTTTCCAGGTCCAAATGGAAATTTAAAATGACAATTCTTGACTTCATTTGTTTAACTTGAGTTGTCAGTATCTAAGAATGCTAGCTGTGGCATATGAGAAAACACAAGAACTTGCTAGAGACCTACGAGTTGTTGGATGTGGTGATTTGGATGTTGAAGGTAATGAAGCAAGAAATATTTTCCCTTGTGAAATTCCCTTTTTGTAAATCCCTTCCAAGACAGAATCATTTATTGGAAAGAAACCATGCTGTTGAATGTTCTCTTCTCTATGATTGTCAATATTTTTGAAGGATCTCTGCTGAATGTGATGATTGTGTACTTGTGTGATTAATCTACTAACTATGTGAAATTGACAATTGATCATTTACCAAAGAAGCACATGGGACATGTTTTCTTAATATTTAATAGTTTGTTAATTGAGACATGTCCTACTGGTTGTTTGGTATCTAATTAAGTCATGTCTGTCTTTAATCTCAACAAGCTGACAGATGCAAAAGTGGCCCTTGACAGGTTCTTGAAAATTTCAGACCAGAGAAAAACTTTGATGCTTTACTAGTTGACTGGATATTTGGTTCTGTATGATTTCTTCAACTTGATGCCCTGGTAGCAAATTTCTCTGTTTCTTCAGGCCTTACAGAGTCTCTCTTTTCTGCTCACAGGGATGAATATCCTGAATATGAGCAGGCCTCACTTAAACAACTATATCAAGCAAAGGTTTGCACCTTCATTTTTTTTTCTTTCCAAGTTTCCAATTCATTTTTCTTCAGTTCTGTATCTTTTAACTTCTTTGTGCCATGCAGATGGAAGAACTAAGGGCTGAAAACCAGCAGTTCTCTGAGTCAACTGGAACAATTGGGCGCTCTAAAGGTGCTTCAGTAGCATCTTCTCAACAGCAGATATCTGTGACAGTTGTGACAGAGTTTGTTCGCTGGAATGAAGAAGCAATATCTAGATGCATTTTGTTTTCATCACAGGTAATACAGCTTGCCCTATTTAACATCTTTTAGGCTCTACAGTATTCATGTGAACCATTCAATTTGGAAATTTTCATTTAAAAGTAAGGACTTAGAGAAGCTGTCTCCAAGATATCATCTTTTTGAACATTTTCATTTCCCTAAATTGCAGAGTTTAGTTAAGATGTGGTCTTAGATTTTTGTTGTGTGATTAGAGACGAATGCAGATGCATAGGACTAAAACAGGATAACTAAAGCTTTTAAGATGTAGCAATGCATTACAAAGCAGTTTGTTTTTGAATGTAGAAAAAGAAACTGAGGCTACAAAGGCTACCATATTAAAAAAATTTAGAATAAAGGCTTAGAGCATTAGAATTGGTTATAATGAGTAAAAAGTATTGCCTGAACTATCATTGAAATTTTTCCTCCAAATTTTCAATATTTGTTGACTATATAAATTTAACTGATGTGTAATCTGTCACAGCCTGCAACCCTTGCAGCCAATGTAAAACCAGTGTTCAACTGCCTTCTAGACCAAGTAAGTTGCTTAAGTAGGTTAATTATATTCACTGATTTGCTGGATTCCTCTCCTGTTAACTTGGATAATTTCATTTTGCAGGTCAGCCAATATATAACAGATGGACTTGAAAGGGCTCAAGATAGTCTGACAGAAGCTGCAGCTTTGAGGGAAAGGTTTGTGCTGGGCACTAGTGTTAGTCGAAGGGTTGCCGCTGCAGCTGCTTCTGCTGTAAATACCTGATCATTTGTTTTTTTAGCATTCTAAAAAGATATTTTAGGAGAAAATAGTTGACATAAGAGAGACTCATATATGGATAGGTGGAAGCTGCTGCTACTGCAGGTGAAAGTAGTTTCAGAACTTTCATGGTTTCCATACAACACTGTGGAAGTAGTGTGGCAACAGTGCAACAGGTATGTTCTTCTTTCTTTCTTTCTCTCTTTCTTTCTTTCTTTCTTTCTTTTTTTAAATGTTTATCACTTCTCTGTAATTGTTTTATCTGACAGAAAACATTGTGGTTTATACATTTAAAATGATATGGCTTTATATGCAGTACTTCGCAAATTCCATATCTAGGCTCTTACCACCTGTTGATGGTGCTCATGCTGCTTCATGTGAAGAAATGGCAACAGCAATGAGGAGTGCAGAGTCAGCAGCATACAGAGGGCTACAACAATGCATTGAAACTGTGATGGCTGAGGTCAGTTATTTACTTTCAGTCTATTCAGTTTAATATCTAGTTTTTGTGAACATTAGCAATAGCCTGAGGGCAAAATAATGACTAGTTTTATCTTTCCCAGTACTCTTTATAAACAAATAGAATTGCCATTGTCATGATTGAACTTTTCCAGCTACAAGATGCTACCTATTTAGTTGGTTATGTTTACCTTTTTATTCTCATCAATGATTTTGTCCTGGTGGCACTCTTCTCTAGGTAGATTGTCTTCTGTCAGCTGAACAGAAAGCAACTGATTACTGATCACCCAATGATGGAATTGCTCCTCATCGTCATCCAACAAATGCCTGCACAAGGTTTGCTCAGCTAGACAACTTAAAAACCTGTTTCTTAAACTATGGAGTTGATTTTTGATACTTGCTGGAAAATCCATGGATGTGAGGTCAATTCCTTTTGTAGTGTCAGTTTCTCATGTTCTCCTTTATTTTATTTTCTTATCAGTCATAGCTCACATTTTATGCTGTATCAGTTGCCAATTGTTAATCAAACAGTATAGTGTTTCCATTGATGTTTAGGATATCATAAATCATCTTATCAATGCTATGGTTACCAAAATAAAAAAATTGTTTTCCATGTTTATTCTTTCCTTAACCAGAGTTGTTGCTTCTCTTTCCCGTGTGCTTGAGGCTGCATTCAATGCACTAGAGGGTCTCAACAAACAAGCATTCCTGACAGAGCTGGTATGATGTTTTCTCACTCTACTGAGGTTGTCTACCAACAATGAAATAGTTTTGGAGGATAAAATGGTGATTTTTGTTATTTCAGGGAACACGCCTGCACAAAGGGCTGATTAACCATTGGCAGAAGTTCACTTTCAATGCCAGGTAATATTCAACTTAGTGTAAAGGTATTATTATAATTTGTGTTGTTTTTGTGATGGTTTTAATGCTTGTTGTAGGTAATGTTCCTGCAAGCCTGGCAGAAATTCCTGCCTGTCAGGAAGTTAAAAGCTTAATTTCTTTCATTACAGAGATATCGCAGAACAAGAATTACTACATGCCAGTTTGCTCTGTTTCATAGTTTTCATTCTGTCTTCTGATTTACCCTGCAGTGGTGGACTACGCCTGAAGCGTGACATAACTGAGTATGGAGAATTTGTTCATAGTTTTAACGCCCCTTCTGTGGATGAGAAATTTGAGCAATTGGGCATGTAAGTTGTGAAAGATGTCTGAGTTTGCTTGACATCTATTTCCCATTTACATATCTCAAATTTACTGCTTAACTGTTGGTCTGCAGCATGGCCAATGTCTTTATCGTTGCTCCAGAAAGCCTCTCAACTTTGTTTGAAGGTACCCCCAGCATCCGTGGAGATGCTCAGAGGTAACACTAATGTTACTGGTTTTGTCGATGGGTTGCAAACATGATTTGAATTTTTTCTTTTCTGGTCAGTTTTTAGTTCATGAGGTTGCTAATTTGGATTTGGTCCCAAATACAGATTTATTCAACTTAGGGATGACTACAGGAGCGCTAAACTTGCATCTAGGCTCAGCTCCTTATGGTCAAGTTAAAGCTGATATGGAAGTGATGTATAGACACACCTGTCAAATTTCGCAAGTATCAATCTTGGGCAGTCAACTCCGTGGCTCACCTATGAGGTTGCCTAGTTTTGATAGCACCAAAACCAGGTATAGAGCTTTCGGGGATAAAGTTCACTGCAAAGGCAATAACCTCATTGTTAGAATCAACGACATTAGATTTTTGTTCTATTTCCCCTCTTTTTTTTTTTTTCATCATTTTTAAATGTATATTGTTGGAAATATGCATTCGAGGATACCATAGATTGCATCTTTTGAGGCCTTGATTTTACATTAGTTTCTCAATTTTCGTTTTGACCATTCAAGGTTCGTGCCCTTCTGTAAATTTTTATTCATGCTTGTTATTAGCGAAATGGGGGAATTCACTGCATGACTGTAGTTTTCGCTTCTTTTCAATTTATGTAATCAAATAAACTGTGAATCTCCATCTGTTTCCGATGATTGTTTAAAATATAAAATTAGACAGCTGAGAATATTTATTTACTAACGATAAACTTTTGTTGTTGCATGAGAAAGATTATTTCTGTTTGGGTTGGGGTTTTTTTCTTTTTTTCTTTTTCTTTTTTCAGCCAAATCCAAGCATAAGAAGATAACTTCACCCTTCTTTTTTTCATTTTTCATTTATTAATGACAAAGTTCTTTCATACTGAGACTGCTTGCTGAATGGATTAGGAAAATGAAAAACATCCATCTGTCTTTGTTGCACGTTGAGATTGAGTAACATGACATGGAAGATTTTCTGATGGGACACGGTTGGTTTTTGTTGTCAGTCCTGTTTAGGAAATCATGATACTATTCCCAGCTTTTACCTTGCCAATGGAAAGAGAAAATTATGATTGATATGTTGAATTTTGGATGAAGGTATCTCTTATGATTCTTTTTCCATGGTTTTAAGAAAAGAGGCCTCATTTCTATCAAGAAAGCCAATAAATTTACTACCATAACAAGTGCTCAGTGTCAACCTTCTTATGATCTTGCTTGTGGACTTCGAACGCCACACACAAATCCACGATAACCTCTTATTGTGGAGGCCCCAATCAATCCTACTTATTTTGACACTTGGCGTCCGTCCACATTTGTGGTGGGCTTCCCCTATTTTCCCTATTGAGGCACCTCCCCTTCCCACTATAAACTGTTCCCTCTCTCTCTCTAAAATATTTGGAATAAAAGGAAAGAGACTGAGCGATGAAGAAAGGGATGCATGGTAGGGAGATAACAAAGGCATTTACCTTTTTAGGTATTTTTAGCAGTTATATACATGCTCCTCGTGCCATTCATAAATTCCACTCTCTTCTCTATCAAGAAAAACTACAAATTGTCAGGATATTGAAGACCCCACGAGGCCACGGCCATATCGTTTTGGACATATTATTTTCCGCCATTCCCAGCTCTTTTTTAGTCTCCATCATCGCATTTATGACCCTATATTGATCTAAATGTTGTCTTCTTGTTCTATTCCAATGCCTAACTATATAGAAAAACTGGGGAGAGAAGAATTTTTTTTTGTCTTCGTTGGAATGTAAATGTTTGACCAAACTAAAAGGCCCTAAAGTGATGTCAATTGTCATGTATGAAGAGATCTCCACCAAACAAAAACCATATCTCCACCAATAAGTGCTTCACAATTCAATCCATATCTAATATGGTCAATTATAATCTTAAAAAAATTGACTTAGTTGATAAAAAAATTTAATATGATTGTCTTATAATCTAGTTATTATTCTTTGAAAGATAACAGGAAAAACATCCTTGTGTAGTTAGATAAATTCTCTAGTTAGTTAGTCACACATCTTTATTATTAAAGAGATAAGATAAACTTAGTTTGACGCAAACAATTTGGCTGATTTTACTACGTGATCAACAAATTAAATCAATATCAATGTTCTTTAAGAGCACAAGGAAAAGAAGAAATGGAAAGTTTAGAATGGGTAGGTTCATGCGGGGGCGGAATGCAAGGGTCGGATTCAAAGAATGCTTAATTTGTTCTTGCAATTAATCTGCGTTTGCATTGCCATCATCACCACTAGTGGAATTTATGCCTTTCCTTTTCTTCACTGCAAAAGGCAGAAAGATTAAGGGTCTATCACTTGATGGGATTTGTCCCCGCCCCCTACCCCTTCTTTCTTTTTTTTGGGAGCCGCTATTCGAATAAAACCCATAACCATAACAGTATCCAAGTGTGAAACATGGTGTATATGAAAGATGAAGAACTAATAAAAGTTGGCGATAATGCTTTCTTGCTTTGCTACTTTACGTTAGAGTCATCACCCACTTTTTCGCAATTAAAATGCGGTATCTCTTTTGCTTTGAGTTCAAGGAAGATGAGATTTTCCAAGGCTGATTTCCTGCCATTTGAGCAATTATAAGATATGATTGTTTTATATATATATATATATATATATATATAAAACCCCACATATTATAATTGCCTCATTAATTTTTT